GCAGTGGCAAGGGAAGGACTTCCCACCTGGGGAAGCTAGCCATTAAAACCCAGACTCCTACATGGCGGCGTTGCTGGTAGGATTTATTTGCATTTCAAATATGTGTTAGCCAAAACTATGCTAAAATTTTTATGTACTTCAATTTTTTACATTGCTATAAGTCAATTCCAATTCATCATGTCTCTATGAGACAGACAGAGTATGACTTTCCCCTATGGTTTCCAAGGCTGTGCATCTTTTCGGGAACAGTTTTATCTCTTTCCCAAGGAGTGGCTGGTGGGTTTGAATGGCTGACCTTGTGGTTTGTAACACAACATGTAACCCACTACACAATCGGGATTTCAGCATATTTCTAGGATTCCAGTAATGTAAGAATAATTATCCCCATTTTACTTGAAATAAAATGAGGCACTGAGAGTTTTGCTTCCTGGCCATAGAAACTATTGGATGGTAAAGAACTAAGCAGGAAAATGGCAGCATGGCTGGATAATGGATTCACTCAACTGGATTACTCACGGGCTCTAAGAATTGACAAGCGCGGGAGTTAAAAACAAGTATAACAACGGGCATCCATGGACTTTTACTTGCCCAGCGAGTATGTGCTGAGAAGTTTTCTCCGAGATGTAGCATCATTTTGTTCCTTTCTATTTTGAAGTTTTCAAAGTTATAATCCAAAGAAAGTGAGTGGCTATTTCGAGGTTCTTCTCTAACTCCGAGTTTAAGGACTCTGTGAAGTAAAGGCTAATGCTCAGGATGGGAATACATCTGGATCCAATGTGCTTTTCTTTAGTGTGTGAATTTTGCTAAAGCATCATATTCAGAGCAAGAAAGATATTTTGCCTAGTTCTCATTACCCCTACCCTACCTGCGAGGCCTGCCACACCAGAGTAACAGGTGGCTTGAAAGGACTGAGGTGGGTAGTGTCCCAGCTCTGGAGGCTTGCCTTCTGAACTCTGTGTCCCCGCAGGGCTATGGTCCCCGCCGGCTCCAGGAGAAGATGCATCCATACATCTGCCATCTCCTGTGGGCCACTGTGGATGCCTCTGCCTCTGTGGTCACGTGGCAATCTCCCTCCTGCAGCTCATTTTTTGTATCTTTTAGCTTTTTTTTTTTTTTTTAAGGCAACACTAGAGGAATTAGGATCAAGACCCATCCTACATGGGCATGATCTCATTTAACTTAACAGATAAGGAAAGAAAAAATATTTCAAAAAAAGGACTCATTCACAGACACCAGGGCATATATTTTGGAGAACACGTTTTAATCCATAATATTCCACTCCCTGATCCCACCCCCAAGATTCATGTCCTTCTCATGTGCTAAACAAAAGGCATTCACC